GGTTTGACAGCGAAAAAATTAGTGGCCTTTCGGTATATTTAGCCACTTCTTTCAATATGGACGATGTAAATGCACTTCCAGATGTTGATGTACCTGAAATACAATTAATTTCTGGTCACATTATATATGCATATATTAATCATGTTATTAGCGGTTATTTGTAGTAGTGTATTTTTTTTGATTAGAAGACAAACACCATGTGCCACCAAGATACAGGCTGTGCCTAGTTTGGGGCCCACGGGCACCTCTGCCGTATTTGCGTTTATGTGAATGCTGTTCACTTCCATGTCTATATGTAAAGTAAAAAAAAATTCAATTTAATAACAAGTGGGCTTATAGCTATCTGCGATCAGTAAAGTTTCAAAATTAAAGAACTCAATACACCTTCTGATTTGAATATTAAACAAAAGCCTACATGTCGGCGGATGCGTCCGCGGAGTCTGGAAGAGGCTTTTCGCCACAGATAAATAGTAGGTAATTATCGTAACAGATGCACAAATCACCCCTTCTATACGTCGGCCCAACGCATCTGCAGATGACGTCTATAGACGCATCAGCCGACGTCAGCACATTTAGGACAGATATTGTTACTTTCAACAAGAAATGTCATTAAAATCTTACCGATCAAGCAGGTCGGTTTGAATCTTTTAATACAAGTTTTGAAATCTATTTCGGGTTCCAAATCACGAGCGAAATCTCTAGCGTGAGCTGGTATATCCGCTTTTCGATTCCGTGATAGTAAACCGTCAATATCAAATAGATAACATCTGTTTCTAGCAGCTTCACTTGTTAGTCCTTCTTCCATCATAGCATCACATAACAAATTCGCTATCCCAACACCCGTCTTAATAAACAAAGAAATCTCAACTTAATTTGCATTACACTACAGACTAATTTTATAAAAATGATTTTTATTCCAGTGAAATAAAACCTTTCAAAGTTCTTGAGCTACTTCACGTCCAAGTTCTCGTGACTGCCACAGTTAAGGACGTTTTGGGAATAATTAAGTCTGTGTCCGATAATTTGACTATATTATACTCAAACAGATCGCGATAGAGAACTTCTGTGGATGCCCTTTGCCCCAACTAGGAGACGTAAGATTTTGATTCAAGTAACTTACGATTATTTATTATGAATAACTCAATCAGTTTTGAATTCAACACATCCTATGACTTTATTGTACAAAAGAGTACAACACACTTTCTCCTTTATAATTATAGTAGCAAACCAAAAAAGTATTTAAGCAAAAATATACATGAAGCAATCTATAGAAATATGAAATGGTAACTCACAGAGCCAGCCCCAAAGAAGAAGTAAGTATTGTCCTTAAGTTTTTGATTAGTAATCTTATTGCAAGCCACCATGAGTCCGCTGAGCACTGTGGCTGCAGTGGCCTGGATATCATCATTAAACATACAATAATCATCTCGAAATCTAGTTAAAAGACGATGCGCGTTATGCATTGCTAAGTCTTCCATCTGTATTAACAAAAACATCATGTATGTACCTAATATAAGAACTTTACCAAATAGTTTCTATTATCGACTAAAATAGCGGGTTACTCACGTGAATATACTGAGAAAAGCTCTTCTAGCTATAATACCTGATTTATTACTATTTTATCATGTCCTAAATGTTCTGGCGAGTTGCTATTGTCCCGTGAATAAAATTTTAGTTCTCAATACATAAAGCAATGTAATAATGTTTGATGTTGCCAATATCTCTCAATGGAAGAACACGAGCTTTTCAGAATCTCTTAGTTTTGACAAAATATTTTTTGCTAGTCATAAACTAAAACTCTTACTTCATTTAGGTGTATTATATGCGTAAGTAGTTACCATAATAAGAGTTTGTGGTCCATACAATTTCTTACAGGCGGAAAAAAATTCGCACAAGAGGTCATCATATTCCTTGCGTGAATACCGCTCCTCTCGGATGCCGATGTACAGAGGGTCTTCTATAAGCGACTTAAATTGAAGATAAATAAGTTATTCATAAAAAATATGCCAGCATCAGTAGTTCTATTTATTCTAGGCAAATTATGCTTAAAAATCAAAATGTTCACCATTTTCGGTGAGAGATCTCTCATGGCCATTTTTACCAACCACACCTAAACCATCTCTTAACTAAATGTCACTTAGCGGGACGTGTAACCTAAACTAATCCTGTAATGTTAAGTGACACTTATAGATTGGTGAAAACCAAAATGACGTTAAATGTTACTTATCTTAGCTTAGAGGTTCCTTAAAATTTAGGAGGGGGTGGCGAAAACAGGAACTTGTTTATAAATAAAATTTTAATGTAACTCACTCCATTATTAGTTCCAACATCCAAACAGACTGGCAGACACTGATGTGGTTTAATTCCTCCAAGAGCAGTTAGCAATGTTATCTTGCCTTGAGCGACTCCCATACCATGGGCCCCAAGATCACCTAAACCCATAACTCTTTCACCGTCGGTGACAACAATCACACGAACATCTCGTTCTGGCCTAAAATAAACATTTTATTTTACACGTATAAACCCAACGTCCTTTTATTTTATGAAAGTATGCAGAAACTACAGAGCGCCAACTACTATAATCTCAACTACAACTTCTGTCAGTCAGTCATCTTTAGTATTCTTTACGATTATCCAAAATTCGTATTTTATTTATACACAAGAATAGTTTTAACAAATAGAAGTGTATTTTGTTCTCATGAATGTATCAATTTAGGATGCAACGACATCTGGTTTCTAGTACACGTACTACCTCGCCTGAAAGCCTGCGATAGAGACTATGAAAACTGTTGTAGATGCCACTACTCTACACGTTTTACTTAAGCAAATCGTAAAAAGTAAATACATATTATTCGCCTCGGTCATTTGAAAATATGTATACAGTTTTAAATCAGATCTCTGACCTTTCTTGTAAATGTATGAATATAACTTACCAATTTTTCAAAACATCAATAACATGACCTTTATCGTGTATAGTCACAAAGAGACCCCTGGACCTTTTATACACGAGGCCAAATCTCATGCAGGCAACCCCTACCGTTGGAGAATTAATCAAAGGCATGTACTTTTCAATATCATCGTGTAGTAAGCAATAGAATAACGTCTCGTTCGTATCCTGCAACAAAATAGAAATGAAACACTAGTTTAAGCTTTATACTATGATAGCTAAGTAAAGCCGATACAAGTATTTTATTGGTATTTAGATTTTGTAACTTAACTGAATAGTTTATTGACTCCCATAATTCGTGACCTTGTCACTATACCTATTTCCATTTAACTTAAAATATAGTGTAGAAATTCTTAATTTTATTTGTACATCTCCTCACTACATTGTTGGCCAAGTTGTCGCAAATGTGACTGCGGGAAGGGGTCCAGATTCAATTCGCGGGTCGGGCAAAGAAAACCAGGCTTTTAAAAAAAATCTCAGTAGTAATACGTAGTCTGAAATTGTTGCCGGTATATGGCAATAGGCTTACCCCTTCTTACATGGGACTCATATCATAATAATGAAAAGTGGGTGTTACATTGTACAGCGGCATTAGGTGCTGTAATAATATAATATAAGAAATAATGTTATGTCCTCACTACTAAAAACCTGCTATTAATAAAACTGCCTATTCACAAATCAGATTACTATAAAAACCATATTTATTATTATTATTATACCATAGTTACTATATTATTACCAATAACTCCGACAAATAGAGATATTTATTCAAAGAACTTCTATATCTATCGATAGACAATCTACATATCGCCAATTGCTGTTCAAGGGTTCTGAATTCACTTGACAATAGCCCATGGATCCCAAAGGCTTGACGCTCTTCTAAAGTAAATGCGAGACCCTAGAAACAGTCCAAAGAAGAAATTATACAAACATGGTAACACAGAACAAGTCCAAACATTTTAAATCGAACTATAAACTTCCTATTGTAACTATTAAATCTGAATTAACTTGCAGAAATCAGGACTAACAATATAGGTAGTTTATTTTACACAATCGCTCAACCGCTATATCACATTCTTTAAAATTGTAAAGGCTAGATTGGGGATGGTGCGATGGGTGGATAATCTTTAGTCGTATTCGTATAGTCCACATTACTAAGTATTTTCAAACGAACTATGGAGAAAGACCACCGCACCACAGTAAAGAGGTGGGATAAGTACTTTATTTATATTATCAAGTACCTTGTTTAGCCGCGGATTTCTTAAATGATCAATGCCTTTCGTCAAATTTGCTGTAACTACATCTCCAGGTACCCCACAATTTAGTGCGCTGATTGAGAATCGTGCAACTTGGTGTAACTTCATCTTTTTGTTTAAGTTACTACTAGTATTCTTGATCTTACTGAAAACAGCATTTTTATATAAGAAGGCAATTCTTTTTGTCTCGACATTTCTTTGTACCCAGATTGATAACGAAGTGACGAGCTACTTAGCACAGAGTACTGAGAAAGTAATATATAAAGAAAGACAGACAAATACACAGCAGCTCTGTATAAAAAGCAAAATGTAAAGTATTAAAATTGCAAAACCCTATAAAAGTTACATATAATACGTACCAAAAGTTCCTATACATAATAGGAATCATTTCTGATATAAAATCAAACAATATGATACAAAATTCTGTTGAAGTTTCAAAAACAAGTTTGCTGTCTTGGTAACAGAGCTATAGATAATATAAAAAAATATACCTTCTTTCAGTTTCAGGTCTTGCAAAACCTTGTTGTAGTAATTATGTAATTACACTGACCTCTATAATAATACGCTGGACTGGCTATGCCATACAAAATGACAGCTATTTGCTGTGCCGATTTAAAGCGCCCCCGGTGAGAGTTCTGAGAACTAATAAGATTGCAAATGGCCGTTGTTTGTTGTTTTGAAGCGAAGTGTAATAAGCGGAATAAAAAGTTTCTAAAGTATTTATTGTGATTGTGATATATATTAATGTGTTATAATAGTGACAGTGATTGTATCATAGTTTGTATTATCTGTCCAACATGAAATCGTGCGTATATTGTAAAATACGATACGAAAAAGGCAGTGGTGTTACTTTTCACAAGTAAGTGGATTTAAAACATGAATATTTATTAGAAAACCGCTTATAGCAGTGTATTCTTAGAATAATAAGCGTAAACTGTTCGAATTTAAGAGATTTTACGAACATTTTTAAAGTTATTGGTTACAATAACTTTTGTTAGGGATGTCAAAATTCATATCGATACTTTCGTAATATTTAGATGTAAATCAAAAGTCATGGAGTGTTTTATTTTATTCTAATTTAAAATATTATATATTTTTACTATTAATTCGCTCTAAATACTCTCCAGCGTTTGATGGAGCGTGGTCTTTTTCACAATGGCCTCTAATTAAGAATTGAATTGAATTGAACAATAATGTTTACCATCATTTTAAAATAATAATACGTACATTATAATGATGTCTATTAATAGCAAAACACTTCAAGGTTTATAATTATTAGAGTCAATAACAAATAATTTAACATTTATGATTAATAATTCTCATTGAGTGATCTTTAATAAAATTACAAATATATTATTATTTTGTATTATTCATATTGTTTTATCCATACCTACTATAATATTTCTTTTAATTACAGGTTCCCCTCTGATTACACTCTGAAACTTTGGTTAAAAAATATGAAAGTTGTCAACTGGACTCCGACAATGTATAATTATCTCTGTTCTAAACATTTCACGGATGACTGTTTCATAACACATCAGTCACGGACTACGTTGAAAAAATGCAGTGTCCCAACAATATTTCTTGGTTAGTTTACATTTGTAATTGTAAATACTTGGTCAGTATCTAAGAAATACTGTTGATTATCTAAATAAAATAATACTTATGTTTTTTACAGAAACTAATTCATCCTTGTTTCAAACTGAGATGTCTAAAGATGCTGACCAACCAACAGGATACCAGTCCCAGAAAGATATTGAAATGAGCTTGGATAAAAATTCACTTTTAGTACCTGTGCAAGTCGAGCATATTGAAATTAATCCAGAAGAAATGTTGCCATGTGAAGCCCTTGCTGGTAAGTTATTTTAGAAAATTTCATTAATACTGAATATGACTTACTGAAGTACAAAGTTGGTGACAAAAAGTGGGTAAATCTTAAACAATTTTTAGAGGGCACTTCCAGTGGTGAACAGAATATTATATCATTCATTAAAAATGAAAATACATATATTTACTAACTACTCTAACTAAACATATGATGATAGGTGATAATACGTATACATAATGATATAATATACGTAATGATAGGTGATGAAAAATTGGAACAAGTGAATGAATTTGTGTATCTGGGATCACTATTTACGAGAGATGGAAAGTGTGACGGGGATATTGAAAGGAGAGTGAAAGCGGGAAATAGTGTTAATGGTGCTTTACACTCTGTAATGTCGAGTAAAATAATATCCAGCAAAGCTCGACTTGCTTGAATTGACACCAACGCTTATGTATGGTAGTGAATCATGGGTGTGGCAGAAGAAGCATGAAAGCAGGATTAATGCGGTGGAAATGAGAGCCCTGAGAAGTATGTGTGGACTAAAATTGAGTGATCGAGTGAAAAATAGTGTTATTAGAGAGAGGTGTGGATTGAAAGACGATGTAGTGACAAGGATTGAAAAGGGAATGTTACGCTGGTTTGGACATGTAGAAAGGATGGATGAAAGTAGAGTAACGAAAGAAGTATACAGAGCGGATATGAATGGAGCCGTCGGTAGAGGGCGCCCTAGACGGACATATAGTGACCAGATTGGCGATATATTAAAGAAGGGCCAAATAAAAAGTACCCTTAACCGATGAGCATGCATGAAAAGATTGATGACTGTTAATGAAGCGAAAGAGGTATGTAAGAATCGTAGTAATTGGCGTTCCTTAGTCTCTGCCTACCCCCATGGGAGACAGGCGTGAAGTTATGTATGTATGTATATGTATGTCTAACTAAACACAAATAATTTAATTACATTTCAATTTATTTTTTTCCATGATCTTTGACAAGTTTTTAAATTAAGTATATTACATTCATTACACACCGCGCCGGACGCCAGCGCCCGCGTCTATTTTCTTTTTATTGTTTGACTAATGACGGTATTCAAAAGGTTAATTTAAAAACTTGTCTTTTAATCTATGTACTACGTGACTTAAAACACGAGCCGCCATGGTGTGACGTCATCGTGGTACTCAAGCTCTCATCGCTATCAGCTGTCATCGGCCTGTCAAGAGAGTTATAGGCTACGACTGCAAATACTACTGTGTTTTTGATACCATGACGACGTCACGTAATGGCGCACGGCGTTTTTCACGAGTGAATAAAAAGTTGAAACTTCAATTTTTTTTTGGAAAGAAAGCGGGTGTATTATTTGAAAATAAACATTTTAGTTTTTTTTTTACTACGAAATGACCATTTTTACCCAACTGAAGGAGGGTAATTAAGTATTTTGTCTAGCAGAGTATCATTCCTTTATTTTGTACCCTTGTGTTATCTTGTAATTAATTAACTTTTTTTTAAATATACCTTTCCGTTGGAAGGCCTTCCACAAGGTAGACAAATGACCTAGTGAGAGTTGTGAGATTCACGAGAATCCTATATGGCGACGGTTGGGGGAGGCTTATGTGCAACAGTGGACATCTTTCGGCTGAAAAGATGATGATGACATACCTTTCCCATTATTTTCAATTGTATTTTCACTATCTAATTATTTTCTTTCTTTGAATGGTATAAGTAATAAAATATAATTTCTTGTTACAGTTCCAAGCACAAGTTACAACACAAGTTACTGTAGCACACCAACAAAATCTAGAAGTTTATCAGAAATCTGGTCTAGCGTCAAATTAGATCACCGCTACGAAAACACCCCAAAATCTTCCAAAACTAAATTAGAAAGGGTCAAAAGAGCCTTGAAAATGTCACAAGCTCGAATTAAAGTATTGTCTCAAAATGTGAAACGTATGAAAATTACCGTGTCTGCTTTAAAATCTGTAATTACTGATTTAAAAAAAAGGAAACTGGTATGTGATGATTGTATATATATGTTAAATCAGTACGATGATTTTAAACCACAACTTTTTAAAAGGATGACCAAAAATGTGAAACGTGCTAAGTATGCTCCAGAATTAAGATCATTTGCCATTACTCTACATTTTTATTCGCCAAAGGCATATGCATATGTGCGTAATAAATTTAATTTGGCTTTGCCGCATCCTCGTGTGATTCGCTCATGGTATAGTTCCGTTGATGCCAATCCAGGATTCTCTGTCGAAAGTTTCAATGCTTTGGGACTTAAAAGTGAACTAGCAAAACAAAAAGGGGAAAAACTTATATGTGCATTAATAATTGACGAAATGAGTTTAAAAAAAAGTTGTACTCGCAGCCGTGACGGAGTGACTCGTGGCCACGTCGATTTGGGTATAGATTCTGAGAGCAACGATTTACCTGAATGTAAAGATGCGTTGGTATTTATGGTCGTGCCTTTAAATAGTAATTGGAAATTGCCTATAGCCTATTTTTTTATTAATAGTTTGACTTCCGAAACCAAAAGTGCTCTAATTAAACAGGCCTTAATTCGGTTGCATGACGTATCTGTGGAGATATGCTCCTTAACTTTAGATGGGCCACCTGAACATTTTTCTGCAGTAGCTAAATTAGGGGCAGAGCTTAAAATAGGAACAGCAGCAAAACCATACTTCTGTCATCCCATAAATAAAGAACAGAAAGTTTATATTATTTTTGACCCATGTCATATGTTAAAAAACATAAGAAATTGTTTGGGTGATTTAAAAGTTTTAAAAGATGAAAGAAATGATTTAATTAAATGGGTATATGTGGAAAATTTGGCAAAATTGCAAGAAACTGAAGGCCTAAGACTAGGAAACAAATTGAAAAATTTGCATGTAAATTATAAAAAAATGATTATGAAAGTTTATCTTGCGGCTCAAACTCTCAGTAGCAGTGTAGCAGACGCGATTGAGTTTTGCGATACTATTTTAAATATCCCTGAGTTTAGTGGTTCCGCAGCTACGGTCAGGTTCATAAGAGCTGTAGATAGAATTTTTGATTTTTTGAATGTTCGGAATCCTTGGGGTCGAGGTTTTAAAAGTCCTTTACGAATAAACAATGAAAATAGGTGGAGGACAAAAGTTCTTGACGAAATTGAATATTTAAGTGAAATCAAACTTATGGATAATACTTTGGCCGTTAAATCTCGCCGGAAAGCTGGTTTTTTAGGTTTTTACAATGCAGTAATTTCCGTTATGAATATATTTGATACTTATGTTAAGTCAGGTAGACCTGAATTAAAGTATCTTTTAACGTATAAGATGAGCCAGGATCACTTAGAACTGTTTTTTTGTGCCATTCGTAGCCGTGGGGGTTGGTGCCCAAACCCAACAGCTGCACAATTTGTCAATGCGTACAAACAGTTATTAATCCATCATGAAATTAATACTTCTACCGGCAACGTCCAGGGCAATAATATATCAATACTAACTGCTTCTAGTGCAAAACGTGCTAAAATAAATAAATTTAATGTTGATGATTTTACCAATGCTGAAAATATGCGTACTACGAAGAAATACCGCCTTGACGACAATGACCCATCCTCGTTACAAACCGAGTTAAATGAATTTTTACATATATTTTGGGCAATACCTGACTCTAATATTAATGAGACTGCCAAACAATGCATTGGCTATATTGCAGGCTTTGTAATTCGATCGATTCGAAAAAAAATTAAATGTGATGAGTGTTTAATGGCCTGCGAAACTGTACCACAAGATGCAATGTCCAATAGGAGAAATGGGGTAGCACTTATTATCCAAAAGCAGAGAGGTGGTTTAACTGTGCCCTCTGTGAGTGTAGTTAACATTTGTTTTATGGTGGAATCATTATTCCGACAAGCATTGAAAAATAATTACAATAAACCACCTATAGAAAGGATTTTTTCTGCACTACTAACTGCGAAGGTAATAAGAAACCTTTTAACTAAAACAAATGAACTGTTTCCTGAGTTAAAAGATCATTTAAGAGATAGTTATGTCTCAGACAACTTTCATAGTCATTTGAACATTCTTTTAAAAGAAATAATAACAAAATATATTGACATCCGTTTGTACGCAGAAACAAAAAAATATTCATTATTTATAACTGGAGAGAAGGTTAGACATTTTTTGACTCGACAAATAATATGGGCTCGACAGTAATTTTTTTAATTAATAAAATATGTGATTTGATAATGCTTTTTTATTTCCTTCCCCTGCGGTAATTAAGTTGTTATAAGTTAATTGCCATAATTACGGACCTAATAGAAAGTTATTGTGTCTCATACCACATGGCGACATGCGGTAGCTCTAGGTCTAACTAGTAACTAACAAATTAATCCCTTCCTATAAAGAGTGCACAATGATAATATTAGAGGTACATAATTTACTATTTAACAGAATTTTATTATTTAATGATTTTAGTTTATGTACGCCGGCGAAGCTGCGGGCAAAAGCTAGATATCTATAATTTAAGTAAGTCTATAATATAAAACATATTTCATGATTTTAAAAATATGTATAAAAGACAACACGAATGTTACATATTAATAAAATTTACCTAAACGAATTTACTTTATAGGAAATTTGTAACAAAAATAGCGTCGGTAATATTTCTTTCATTAGGGTCGATATCAGAAAATATTTATCGACAACAAACCATCCATTGTACATCACTAGTATTAGTTCCATTCCCCCTCACTGATGCCGTCAGCGCCAAAATGGCGATTTTCAAATAGGCACAAAAAATTGACAGCGATAGCCAGTCCAGCGTAATTATATAGAGGTCAGTGTGTAATTAGTAAAGAACCCGAAGGAGGTCGAAGATAAACTATGAAAATAATCTCAAAAACATGACATGACAAATAATTGTAGTTCTCAACATAATTTTCTGTCAATTGTCAATTAAACTGTAAGGGAAGTATAATTAGAATTAATCTAAAAATAATTTGATGTTGGATTTTAATAACCACGCAAAATGTTAATCGACAACGTATTAAGAAATTTGTAAGTAGCAGTTTTGTCAACACATTATTTAATTATCGAAAAATCTGTATATTTTTCATAATAAAATTTTGTTTTCCTATTGATTCAGATTCAATATACGACGACCTCAACTAAGTCGACTTATAAATATAAAACAAATCTACAATATTAACCAGCTCAGACCTTTTACTACAAAACATCGGAATGCCGATGACGATACAGTGTGTCCAAATTTAATGAGAGGTATTGACTACACTCGTATACCACATTTTAACAAGGTAGGTAAGACAGGACAAATATTGATATTGTAAAATTCTCTTGTAGAGAAATATGTTTTGAAACAGCTTTTTACTTTTATAGGGTCTGGCATTTACAATGGAAGAACGACAAGTGCTAGGAATACAAGGATTATTAGCAGCTAACGTCAAAACACAAGAAGAACAGCTCGCAATCTGCACTTACTCAGTAGATAGATATAAAAACCCACTAAATAAATATCTATACTTATCAGAATTACTGGTAAGTTGTAAAATTAATAAGTAAAGTCAGGTTAAACTTTATGCAAAATACGTAAAATGTAGCGCAAGTGCTAAGCGTGCCTACGACGTAGACTAGGGCTACGGCGTAGGCAGCTACGAGTACTATTGTAAACCGTAAACCTAAACGTTTTCTTCATTTCATTCTTATCTTCTTACATATAAAAATGAATTACTGTTTAGTCACGCTAAAACTCGAAAACAGCTGGACCGAGTTAGCTAATTTTGGTCTAAAAGGTTTGGTTTAAAAGGCGAGAATTTTTTTTTGAGGTAATACGAAATTTGTAGGATCAGCTAATATTTTAATATTGCAGAATCTAGATAATAATCATTTGATTAAGTTTTATTTATGATTCCTATGTATTCATTTCATGTATAGATAATCATTTAAAAATAATATTCATTTCAAACTAAAATGTTATTTTTCAGGACACGAATGAGAAATTGTTCTACAAATTACTAGGTTCTAATATTGAAAAGTATTTACCATTAGTTTATACTCCAACTGTTGGATTAGCGTGTCAAAGATTCGGTCTAGTTTACAGGAGACCACGAGGACTCTTCATCACAATACATGACAAAGGAAGAATTCATAAAATTCTTAGGAATTGGTGAGTTACCTATATGACTACTATATTTTGACTGCACGGTTGGCGCGATGGCTAGGCAAACTGGCTGCCGCGCAACGTGTCGTAGCTTCGAATCCTGCAAGGGGACAAATCTTTGTGTGATCCACAAATTATTGTTCCGGATTTGTGTGTCATGTCTATGTGAACTTTAATGCACACTTAAACACCCACGGCATAGGTAGAAATATTAGTGCGTTCCCGCACTGATATTTATATATTAGTGCGGGGAACGCACTAATATTTCAACCTGTGTCGTGCGTTTTAAAAAAAATGAGTATCGTTTAACGTTTTAACCATTGGTCTTAAAGCCTTAAAGTAAGTTCTATATTGTGTATATTGTAGAAAATAATAATTTCAGTGATGGAGATAAATTATAATTAATATTTTTTACGTCTTTTTGTTTCATTTTATTAAAGGCCAGAAAAAAACGTACGCGCAATCTGTGTTACTGATGGTGAGAGAATATTGGGTCTGGGTGACCTTGGTGCTTACGGCATGGGTATACCGGTGGGCAAACTGTGCTTGTATACTGCGCTAGCTGGGGTCCCGCCTGCGCACTGTTTACCTATAACTTTGGATGTAGGCACTAATAACCCGGTATGTATTGGTAGTAGACCATACGCGACGCATTTCTAAACGCTTAAATATGAATAGCTTGTTTAGTTACGGTGTCCAGTAGTTAACCTTTTCAACTTTATAGTATTGACATAAAGTCGAAAATCCAATCAATAAATTTGACAGATTGGAGTAGGTTGATATGATAGGTTTATATCGTCTGTGTGAAAGCTTTCCAATTTCCACAATTTCATTTTTTAAATTTCAGCTGCTTCTAGAAGACCCTTTGTACATAGGTTTACGAAGGAAACGAGTTACCGGTAAAAAGTACGACGACTTTATTCAAGAGTTTATGGAAGCGTGCACGCGCGTATATTCACAGAATGTGCTGATACAAGTATGTCAATATATTTATTATTTGTTACAGGTATCTAAGTGTACCTTTCATAACATAAGAAATAATTCTACACCCAAGTAAGGGCTCGGATACAAAACTGCGATGCGGCGTCGCATCGCAAAAATGTGCGAGCTCCCTCTACGTATCGCTAGAACTTGCGAATTTATTTGCACCGCACATCGAAATCTTGTCCCAAAATCTTCTGTAGGTATTTCTTTCAAATCAAAAATCAAATCAAATCAAATCACTTTTATTTGTTAACATAGGTGCATACAGATATAGGTCGTATATATGGTAATAAAAAAGAGCGCTATGCTATACCCGGAGGCGTACAAATTGTGGTGAGCACTAGGCTTAAGTTTTATTAAAACAAAGAAGTATATGTATTGAGGGAAAACATGAATAATGATGATATACTAATTTAACAATCAATTACAACAATAAAAAAAAACAATAAATTCTTTTTCCAATATCTCCTAAGCAATAACAAAGTGCACACTTCTTTTTACGAACCATATCACGATCTAGTTTTCAATTTAAAATACGTTTAGTACGATTGACAGTCGTCGAAGGAATGGTCACTCTGGGAGACGCCTTGGCGCACGAAATCGCATAGCAGCAATTCGTAATTTTCTGCGTTGCGAATTTGCATCAAATTGCATCGCTGTTTTGTGTACGAGCCCTGAGCCACAAAGTACGCAGGACATAACAAGTTACTTCCAGACAGATAAAGTCAATATTATGTTGAAGATAATTATAATCTAAGCACAATAGGGTAGTTTCCTAAATTTAATTTTAATGTCCGTCTGGTATATTAATTTAAAACTTTAGACACGTATTTTTTCCTTTCTCACAAAATTAAATACTTTCCACAATATAATAATTTGAAATATCGTGTGACGTCACAGCGTGCCACATTTTGTAGCACGCTATGACGTAACACCCTCCCACTCCAAAACTTAGGGCCATTTTCTCTAACTATTGCAACTTAATACGAGAACATAAAAACGTGTCTAATATTTTTTCATTATCTAACTGACGGACTAAATACATTTTTAATTTTGATACCCTGGAAACTACCCAGTTGATTATTTCTCAGTTCGAAGACTTTGCCCTTCACAACGCTGGCCGACTTCTAGACCAATACAAGACTTCATATTGCACTTTCAATGACGACATACAAGGTACTGCTAGTGTCATTGTAGCTGGAATGTTAGCAGCTTGCAGAATTACTAAGAAAAAGTTACAAGACAATATTTTTTTGTTCCTCGGAGCCGGCTCTGTAAGCTTCCTAGTCATTTTTTGACTTTGATTTTTCACTTCAAAAGACCATCAACTTATTTTATTTGAGGCTTTCAGGCAGGTGTTGGTATAGCAAACTTAATATGTGATGCCATGGTAGAAGACGGTGTTTCCAAAAAGAACGCTATAAAGAAAATTTACATGTTCGATGTTGATGGTCTACTTTCAACAAAACGCCAGGGTGGGGTACCATCTCACGCTACTAAATATGGAAGGGATATGGAACCAACGCACGATTTCGAGGGCTTTGTGAAGAATATGAAGCCAACCTGTCTTATTGGTACGCAATCAAATAATTATTACACACACGTATTTATATGCAAGTAAACAATGTAACTAAATCCTCAACATAATATTCCTTGAAAAGAAGTTCTGCATAATATGCAGGTGTTCCTTGTCTATGGTCCACAGATAATAGTAGATATTATTCCATCTATCATTTCACTATCAAATAACTCTGTCTGTGGACCATGGACAAGACTTCATTTTTCTTTAGCTTTGAACCTTGGTATTTTTAATTTATATCTTTATTATTTCTATGATACCTTGGTTTACCCTCGCTTTATATTATATTTTATTTTTTGTAGTTTTTAGTATTGTAGTTTTTAGTATTAACCTTAAGTTATGTGTAGAACACACAAGTTATGTGTAGAACGCGTAAGAATAAATGGTTTTTCTTTCATTCATTCATTAATTCTTATTATTTAAGGTGTATCAACAGTGGGTGGTGCCTTTACACCTGCGATTTTGCAACAGATGGCAAGAAATGCTGAACGACCACAAATCTATGCTCTCTCGAATCCAACGTCAAATGCTGAATGTACTCCACAGCAGGCTTACGAAAACACAGAGGTAAAACGTTAGGTAATTTAGGAAAGTCTATTTTTCTTCACGATGGACAGACCACTAATGGAACCAGGTTTTGTCTGAAAGTCATTTTATGTATACTTATCAACATATAAGGAGTCTTCAAGGCCCGAGTGAAAAGGTTGTTTATGGGACGACGTGCTCCATCGTAGACCGCATCATCGCTTACCACCAGGCGAGATAGCGGTCAAACGTCGCCCCATCAAATATAAAAAAATATATGTTTTGTCATTCGATATTTATTGGTATTATTTTAGGGCCGGTGTATTTATGCATCAGGCTCTCCTTTCCCGCCTGTGAATTATGGGAAGAAGCAATTTGTCACAGGACAAGGTAACAACTCCTACATATTCCCCGGAGTAGCGTTGGGAACGCTTCTATGCTACTCACATCATGTACCTGATACCATGTTTTTGACTGCTGCCGAGGTAAAGCCCAATTAAAAACAATTCTTTTATAGCTACGTTTATAAAAAAATACTTTAACTCCCTTTTTTTTTGAAGTCTGTTCATTAATATAGGTACTAAAACCTTCTCCTAAGTATAATAAAATACTTTTCTGAAAACAGCATTAAAGTCGGTCCACCCATTCATAAGATAATCGCGCACACACATTCATACATTAAGTCAAACTGAGAATATCTTTCTTTTTTGAAGTCGGTTAAAAAGATTTTAGTAATACTTTAACGTTTAAATTGATTTCCAGACTTTAGCTAGTAACGTTTCTCAAGAAGATTTAGATGTTGGACGAATTTATCCACCACTCAATAATATACGGGACTTATCATGTAAAATAGCAGAAGTAATTATTGAACGCGCCTATTGTTTGAGTATGTGTCTTGTTTTTTTTTTATTTATGTTTAATTTTCCATGTAAATAGAACGTACCATTAGAAATACGGATGTAGATATCTAAATAGTTTTGGAAGTACGTGAGCTATCTATTTCACCAAGATATTGTGTCCTTTGGATGATCATCATTTTTCACCTTATACCACTTAGGTAATGACTACGGATTCTCTTTCTACAGATCTTGCCGGCAAATATCCTAAACCAAAAGATTTGTCACAATTTGTTAAAGATAATGTGTATGACACAAAGTATTCGAGCTACTTGCCAGACATATACAAATATCCTGAAGACGGAAGTGGGATAAAAGTGAAAACAATGCGTGACATGATAGCAGCATTGTAAGTAGTTTTCTAATGTATTATCACCATGTAATAGAGTCCAGAATCAATTGAAGAAGTTCATTTAGCGTGATGTGCTGCTGTTTATAACTATATTTTTACTTAGCCAAGTTTTCATGACCATACCTACATCATACATTACTGATCACGGAAACATTTGTAACAAATAAAAGTTGTGAATGCTTAATTTTGTGATTTTTCCATTACAGTAAGGCGAAAAATAAATCGACAATAAAGCAAGTGCGGGATTACATTGACACTACGTGAATGATTTGAAATCTTCTTGCTCATATTACAGACGTCTACCGCCGCATCCGCTATAAGTAGGTACAGTCAAAGGTCAAAAGTCCACCGCCACCGTGAGTGATGTTCACACATGCAATTCGTAAGTAATTTCATCGTCGAGTAATTTAATTGCATTGATGTGTGAACATCACTCACACGGATAAAAATATGCGTGTTCATGTGTTTACAAGCGCTGCAGCGCAACCTATAGTAGTTTTACGGTGGCAGTGGACTTTTGACCTTTGACCGTACATAGTTCAGGTTAATTCGCAGAGTAGAGCAAGTTTATAAAATGGTTTTAAATAAACCCAAATACAAGATAAATATCTCGTTTCGTTTGTTTCTTGTTTGGGTCAAATTAAGTACTAATTGAAATTTAACCTCCTTCCTGAATACGGGTTTGATAGTAGGTAAAATGGGGTGAATAGGGATCGAGAGGTGAATAGAGACAGAAGAGGGGTGAATAGATATAAGGAATTTCTTCATAGTATTAATTCACCCCTCTGCTGTCCCTTTTCGCCGTTCAAACCTTATTCACCCCATTTTACCGTTATCTATTTTTTTTTAAACTACCTCCTTAATGGTTGTCATACGTGAAGTATGCGTAATATGCGCATCCATTGCTTACATATACCTATGAAAAACGGACTGAATTATGCGAGCTAATCTAAACTGACTTACTGTAGCTGGCGGTGGGGTCCAGTTTATATCTGTGTCGTATCCCGAAGTGAGTCGACAAAAGATTCGATTGCAATCGATAAAACATTGGGAGTGTTTCTAATGATTAATTTATTTTTGAAAGAATACTTAAAAAGCTGCCTAGTCTAGTCTTTTCAGGGAACTTTTCTCTTGTATTCATGAGGTATTATATTATTATCTTGTATTATGTATTTGTGAGGTGTGTATATTTAGGTTAGGTACATTATAATAATAGACTCGTAATAAATAATATCACTTTGTTTTATTTTGAAAAAGTATTTATAAAGTGCTCTCGTGTCGATTTATCCCTAGGTAAAACGTACTCGGATATGTAAATCATACAGCACAACATAAACTAACATACATACGTCTGAACACCGAAGGGCTACTCAATTAAGTTGTACCTACTTAAATATCGCCATCTCTGTTATTTTCCTAAAAAATTGTAGAGACAACTATATGAAAGCGCGACTTTAAATTGAATGGCGTTAGAGTATTTGGACGTTAGGTAGGTACTAGTTTCTCTAGTTTTCTGTATAAATTATAAACATATGATTATTATAATTTGAAAAATAAATATTGAATTCTAATATACAATACATAACTAAACTAATGCATGTAGGTATATAAGTAATAACATAACTTATTTTAATTACTTATAATAGGTATTTGAATTATGTCCGTAAGGATTGAGGAGCCATATCAGATTTTTATACCTGATCTCGCCATTAGCAGCAGTTTAGCTTATTTTGCAGCACGAATTCTAGATTTAGCAGCAAAATATATCACTAGTTATTTTAAAGCAAACATGGCTCCTCAATCTAAAAGTTTAAATTGAGGAGCCACCTAGAACTCTTTAAGTAACAGATGGAAAAATTGAAAATCAAAATTTTATTACGTATTTTATGGTATCGGTACTAATTAGGCCTCAGCCTCGAATTATTTGCACGGCGCCGGTATCGGCGCGGCCGATTGAAGTGCACCGCTCTTTACCCGCCCCCGCGCCGCTGCCCAGTCGCTGTTTTCGAGATTTTGCGCATAAGAAGCTGCTGCTCCCGCGCCGCCGCCGCGCTGCCCGCAAAATTCGAGACAGAGGCCCACAAACACTAGATTGGCGCTAAATACACAATTTTTTTTAAAGCGCAGTCTTACCGGCCCAAAATATTTTTTCTCGATCCAAAATCTGTGGATTTAAATTGATTACGTAGCGATCGTGTTCGGTCTAAAGAGATGTGTCTAAACCGAATAAGTATAAACTTATGAATTGTGCCTACCCTATTTTTTAAGGGGGGAAAATCATCGAATGACTGCTCTCGCCTGGGTGAGGCGGGAGGGGGTGTCAGACTCTTACTGACTAAAAATCACCCCGTTCCTTCTCCTGCATGTCGAGCCGGAGCCTCGGTTACCCGTTAGGTTCTCCGCGACTCCGAATCGGCATCGGCCCTATTGTGCCTACCTTAAGGAATAAATCTACCATTTTTATAATAAAATCATCGACGTCGACGCATTGTTTTTCGCCCAATGCTGCTCATGATTATGACCTTGTCAAACTTGAACAAGAGAAAACATATTTTATTTCTTATTTCATAGTAAAACTAAAATAAAAACAAAAAAAAATATTTTATTTTCCAAAAATAAGTGATATAAAAAAACAATATTTTTATTTAACCTTAAAGAATAATAAAAGATGGATTCCCATTGTAAATAATCAGAGAAGATAACGTAATAAATCAATAAGATAAAATATCATCAATAAAGTTCACCAGAACAATATTATCTTGATTAGACCCTTTTAACACAGCAAAAAAATAATAATAGTTACTATAAGTAACTACCATATAAAATCTTCGTGGTAAACAATCAACTGTTTAAAAGGAAAAAGTAGCAGCACGTTTTATACTCAACGCCTGAAAAAAAAAATATTTGAACATATTAATTGCTATGGACGGGATATGTCCTAAAACTGCGACGAGCCATCGAAAAAATCTCGGTGATCAAACTGCGATCCCCAAGCCGCCAAGGCAAGCGTGGGAATTTTGATCCGTTCTAGAACATTTTTGTTTCGTTATGAATGTTGTAGGACGATGATGAAGAGTTTACGGCATAGCATATTCAATGTACGATGTCTGAATACAGGTTGCTTCCAACCGGCCTATCTGGACGTCATTGGGGGAGGCCTATGTTCAGTCGTGACCGTCTAGTAGCTAATATATTGATGATGTTCATAAGAAATATTATATTTATAACCTGAATGAAACTACGAACCTTACTTCAACCATAATTTCTAAAGAATAAAGAACAAGTCTTATTGACGTTTCAGTTTCATTTATTTATTTCTTACAACCTTTCTTCGAATCGGTTTTCTTCGTACTGAAACAAAATATAATACTATAAGTATTGTTGCACCACAGTGGTGTAATAATGATATTGTCCTAATAGATAGGTATAGTCGGATAATTAAGTAGGAAATATGGTAGTTATTGCGATTTTTTACTCTATACCAAAATTATGACGTTGAAAAAGTTTAGCACAAAGGAATAGGTTGCCCTGCAGTTCTTACAGAGAAATCAAGGACATATTTTGAAAAAAATCATATTCTCTGCAATGAACAAAAAGATTTTCGAAAAAACAAGCCTATAAATATGGTAATTTATGAATTCATATCTAATGTATTGCCTCGTGGAGATGAATCATCTACTATATGCAATATATTATAACACGCCATAGGCCTTTGATTATGTGCACCATGGTATATTATTGGACAAATTTTAAGTGTGGAAGAGCCACGCTTCGGCACGGATGGGCCGGCTCGACCGGAGTGATACCACAATGATAGAAATTAGACGTGAAGCAACGCCTGCGTTGTGTTTCGTCGTGTGAGTGAGGTTACAGTAGGCTCAATTACACCCTACCCTCCCCCCTTCCCCAATCCCTGAATCCACAACAATCCTTAAATGGCCAGTAACGCACGTGTCCACGGGCGGGACCGATTGCTTACCATCAGGTGATCCGTCTGCTCGTTTACCGGCTTATCCGATAGAAAAAAAAACAAAATACTTGAAGCAAATGGCATAAGAAATCGATATAATGTTACTTGACAAATTGAAAACAAATAACTGAAATAAATAGAATGTGCACGTACAAAAACTAAGGAAACACCTCTACGACACGCAGTATATCTTACGGTGTTCCCCAAGGCAGCGTTCTAGGGCCACTTTTAATTTATTGTTTTCATTAATGACTTGCATAGAGCAATAACTATGACATTGTTTGCTTACGACAGCACAATAACAATTCCTTGTAATGATATCTTTCAATATAATTTTGACATTAACAATTCATTGACATCTGTAATTTCATGGGTTGATAATAAGTTAACGATTGATAGCAAACTAAATTGGGAAGAGCATTATACACACTTACTTTCTACGTACCGTGGTCTGCTCTGAGATATGGTATATTTTTTGGGGTAACTCAACAAGTGATCACTACTAAATGAAGAGTGAGTTGTATATATAACGCATAAAATAGTGACAGTATAACTCTATATCTTAGAAGTAGCACTGTTTGTTAGAAGCAACACCCACTTATTTCCCACTTAGACTGATAAATAAACGTTATAACAATCGACTTCGTGATTATTCATTTAAAATAGCACTAAAGCACAAAAGCGTGATATGTATGGCTCCCATTATTTATAAAAAAAATCCTATTGGTTAATATTGGAATATTGGAAAAAACTATTGGTTAATAAATGCTATTATAGTATTCATGACTTTGTTTATGACAAGTGTTTGTGACATTTTTTAAACAATTTTGTATGATTGTTGGAGCGACCGATAAACACGTTCTAGATATACACGAGATACACGTTGGGTAAGTGCGCAACGTCAAGAGCCAAGTGCTCTACTACATAATACATAACACACTAGGCTGCGCGACATCACCGCGACCGCGCACGCTGCTCAAGAGGAAGAACCCCTCTGTGGTTCGAAACTAGTAGAGCTTTTCTCAGTATATTCACGCGAGTAACCCGCGATTTTTAGTTAATTTAGTATGTATCACGAGTCATTATAAAAATATAAAAGTAACTCACGACTTAGCAATCATTTCTTGTATCGTCTTGACTTTTATTCCAGAATCGCCGCCTGGATAATTGTAACAATCTGGCATGTAATTAATGTATTTTGTGTTGTACAAATAGTTTTGGACTAGACAATCCACATCTTTTGGTTTAGGATACATTCCAGCAAGTTCTATGACAAAACAAACATGCAACTGAG